CCTACACATGACTTGAAGCATGAAGTTTTCTTTTATTTTAATCACATCTAATGTACATTTTTATGTGTTATCACAGGAATTGAAATGAAAAGGGTGTGTTCAGTGAATTGAAAGATGGCAAAAATAACATAAAGGAAATGCATTTCACGTAACAGATGGAGAATAACATTGGAAATAAGTAGTATAACTGGAGTAAAGGGTCAATGATATGATAAAGTGAAGAGCCATCAATGAGAATGATGACTTCAATCACATATTTCAGGCAAATAAGGTTTTCAAATTAATGGTCAACACTTTTTTCCCTTCTGTAAAATCCAAGCACTGAAATATGCTGCTTTGTAAACACCTGTTGCTTGGTTTACAACCTGAGCACTTTCATTAGCTTTCAAATGGCTCAGAAGAATTTATTAAAAACCTAAGTTCATGTGGAAATTGGTCTGGTATCCGTGGGAACAAGTGGCTAACAACTATTGAAAGCTGCCTATTATCTCTCTGATCCTGGTCGGTCGTTATGATAAAGGTCATTATGACTCATAAAATCAGGACAAGTCATGAATCTGCAGAATCCTCTGCGTTATATCAGTCAGCACAAAAGCATCTGTCTAACATCACAGAGCCTTCAGTAGCTGCAATAAAAGCAACAACAAAAGGAAACAAAATTAGAACAGATGTGGCAAAAGCTGTAGAGTTTGCATGCATTTTATGCAGATTAAGAAATCATGAAAAATGCTTCTGCTAGCAAATTAAAACTTCCCATACATTTGGCAGCACACTGAGCATGACCAGCAGCACTGCAATTTTTGCCTGGTTGCCACTTACAAGCCCTTATGTGTTTTCAAATACAGGCATGAGGGGACCATTTCCAAAAGTAAAATAGAAGTACCTGCACACTTTTTAGGTTTTATCATTTTGCTGAGAGTGACCAGCAACTTGCCAAAGCCACAGGTAGAAATATTTGTTCAACAGAAGTTGGACAGTGGACATAAAATCTTTTCATGTGGACTTTAGATCAGGCATTGTTGGTAACTTTTGTAAATCATCCTCTGCCTAAACCAGATTTAGCAATAACTTCTACCTGAAATAACCTTTTGCCCTAATCACCTATTTTTAACTCTGTGAGGTCTACCGGAAAATTAGTTTACACCACGTATAACATACAGGTGAGGCCTAATAAAGATTAAACAGATCTAAATTGTGCACTTGTTTTGAAAAGTCTTTGGAGAATATTTTAGAAGTTTATTTTTTAATTTTCCTTTTAAGTCAAATTATCATCTTTCACCTCAAGCTTACCCAGCTCCTCTGAGTCAGACTAAGAGTCCTTTCTTGCAAGCGCCTGCCAACACCGTTTTTCATCCCATTCATTCTGACAGACACTCTTGTCGATGACTGCCATTGCTTCGTTAATACAGCTCAGCCCTGACATCACCGATAGAACATAGCATGATCTTATAATTCCAATGCAATAAAATGCTGTTTAATCACTACTTACTGCAGGGCTCTGCCAGCCTTGCTCATAGCACTTTATGTAGCAGATTGAGGAACACGGAGAACCCAAACATTTCATCATCCTCCTTTCTCTGCATGCCCTGTTCATGTGCCATGGCCCGAGGCAGCAGCTGATAGAGGGGACAGCTTGTTTCATAAACAAGCTGCATTAAATATTCTCCCATACATTATAGAGAGGACAAAGGTCAGGGGACTTGGGGCAGCCATAAGGTGACTCAATATATCTATGTCATGGGATTGATTTCACAAGAGAATTAGAAATCAATGCCTGGAGTTTAGGGACTAAAAGCCTTTCACCTTTAGGTCACCAGTTCATATCTAACACAGTTCAGTAGTGACTTAAGGCTGTTACGCTCTGAAGACTGTTTAATCAGAATGTATTTGATTGTATCTGGAATTTTATCATATGCATTTGCTTGAGTTTGTTCACATCACAATGATCAATTGCTCATAATTTAAAAAGCTCTTACACAGTAGGGACCTTGTGGTCAGAAGAAGGACCTTGGACTAAAAGGGTATGAAACCTGACCTACCTTCTCACTGGGGATATGGTTCCTTTGGATCAACAGTGAGCTTGTGCTAGGGATAAAGACAGGACTTCAGGATGCAAGGATATCCATCTAATATTTCATAATCTAATCTTTCATAAACTGGCAGAAAATTTTCTTCCTGTTTCTCTTTTAAATGAATAACAGGCTTTTAATTAATGTTAATATTTTTGTGGTAAATTGGCAGCTTGCTTAAGACAAAGAATGATTATATTTTCAACTTTTCAGCAAAAGTATTTCTTCTTTTCAGTCCTACTCACAAGAAAAAGCACACAGCCACTGCCAATGCTCCACATTTTTCCCTCCTACTTAGTACCACTCCATTTGAAGATTGAAGTCCTAAATTTAAAAAAATAAATGAAATCAATAACGTCAAGCTGGAGAGCTCCACTGTATGGAAACTCACTACTATTACAAAAGCCCAACAGAACATTGTACATTTTAACAGAAGCAGCTACAGTATTTTGTACTACCATGTTTTCATCTTACACACAGCTTACAATGCAAACTAATCTTTTCCTCTATCATTCTGACCTCAGGAACCTACTGAAAAAAAAAGGATTTCTTATTCCCTGCTAGGAAAGCAGGCAGCTGTTTGGTCTTTCGGGAAGGAAAATGATGGGTGAATAGCTGCTTTGTTTATCATGAGAGACCCTTGTTAAGAGTGAAAAGTGGGGAAAAAAACCAAAAGAGAAAAAACCTTTGGAAGTGGTACGTTAGCTGCTTTTATTAGGAAACAATAAATATCGCACTATCACAGAAGTGCTTCCTCCACCTAAGCATTCCTTTAGGTCACAAAAAAACCAAGAAAGAGCTTCCTAAAGGCAAAAAGCTGAATCTGTTTTGCAGAGTAGTTAAACCTGTGATCTAACTTGATTAACAGAAGCATACAAGGTACATGCTTAGACATAGAGAATTTTTTGCTTGCCAAAAATGCAACGTTTTCCAGAAAATGGGTTTTTTTTCTGTGGAATAATACATCAGTTGTAAAAACAAAGAAACAAAACAACCTTTGACAGAAATGACTTTCAAATCACAAGCACATATGCCTTGATGGTGAGACAACTTATTAGCATAATCAATAAATTGGCACATGCCCCAGAGGCATATCAACAGCCCCTAATGGGAACAAGACCATAAGTAAAAAGCTGGCCTGGAAAATACTGAGACATTTCCTGTTTTCTTCTGGAATTTTTGTAAGCTCCACAGGCATCTTCACTAACATATGCAGGCGAACCATGAGAAATCAGGAAACTATTGGGTAATTCATTAGTGTCTCTTCCCTTCAAATAAATTATTTTGGAAAAAATCTACAGTACTGAGTAACAGCTGCCTTACAAAATCACAGTATATTAAGAGAAAAAGCATGAAATTAAGAAAAAACAATGGGGTTGAAGGGTTACAAGTGATGTGCCTGTATCACCATAAGCCTTACCAAAAGTAAGCTGATTGACATGATGACAGCTCATTTCAATTCAAAATGAATCCAATGCAATTTCCCTCTAAACTTAGAAAGGCTTGAAGGGGCCATTTTCCATGTTGTTTCAAAAGGCCAACGTGTTTGAAGGAGAACAGCCTAAACTCAGAATACCAAAAATAAGCCTTCTATCCTGTCTTTAAAAGCAAGACAATAAAAAGAGCTTCCCTTCTTCGTATGAAATGTTTTCAACTTAAATCTTTCACAAGACAGACTGTTACGCTAATAGAGAATTTAAAGCAAGAATGGTTCTCTCTTTTATCTCACTACGTGTCTGAAACTCTAAGACTATTCATGTATGCTTCTAATTTTACTTACCCTGATTTGACTTGCATCAATGTATGAAAACCAGAATCAAACAATCATTTCTACCTATAGTATGATCTATTGTACAGGCTATCCTCATGTCAGTAAGATACATCGTGTTTTTTCATTTGATTAGGGACCAGGAACATTATCTTATTCCCAGCTTTCAGATTAAGAGTTTGGATTTTAAAGTATGTAAGTTCTTTCATATTTAAGCTTGTTATATAATACATAAAAGTAATCCTACAGAACTACTAAAATTATTTGCAAAAGAATGTGATTCGCTGGTGTTTAAGTGTGTAACAGCCAAAAAAAAGCATTTAAATGGGTTCAGGAAACTAAAATGTATTAAATAAGCAAGCTGAGGATGCAAGTAGCATAAAAACCTCCCAGTTATGTTCCTGTTGGCTTTTTCTGTTCTTGTTTAGCATGCAATTAACAAATACACTACTTCCTCTCTGCTAACAGCCTAAGGATCTTAAGCTGTTAATAGTGCTAGCACTGAATCACTTGAGTGGTACAACATTCCTGTCTTTATCTTTAAAATGACAACACGTGGGTGATTTACAACCCTCTTAATTCTTTTACAATCACTGGTCAAATGTACTGTGACCAATCCAGCTCTGCAAGATCACATAAGGAAAGAAATTACTGTACATAGAATTACATTACGCACCTTCACACTACACCGTCATCCCAAATGCCTTGAAAAGTTGCTCAAATTGAGGTAACAACTGAGTTCACGTCATATCCCTCAGTGTTTGTGAAACGAAATGGTTAAAAGACATGACAAATGTTTCTTTTTTGCTATTTAAAGCTCAGACTGGTACACAGATATATGATGCAGCATTTTTTGGTTAACTAACTAAGAAAATAATACATAAGAAGCTGAGACTACCTGATTGAAAAAAGAGTTCTCCATCCCATTATATACCACTTGTCCCAATATAAAAACTATTCCATTTTAATAACATTAATATTCAGTTCATTCATTCACATGATTGCAGATCATCTCTATTTGGGTTGATTTGGATGAGGCTAATGGCCATCAGAAAGGCTAAAATAAAAATAGATAGAAGGACCTAGTTTTATGTCAGAAGTTAGACTTTTAAATAGAGGAAAAGCAAGAAATTAGAGTATCCTACAAACAGTATTATTCAAACACACAGTATTACCTGATTACACATATAGGAAAAATTTCAACTTATGATCATTCATATTTATTTATATTGTGATAATAGCAAAAAGTCATACGTTAAAATCCAGAACCCATCCTCTTTTTCAAACACAGTGAAGAATATTATTACTATCTCACAGAGATAAATCAAAAAGGTCATAAATTTTTGTAGTCCAAACTATCATCAAACTGTTTACATGTATATAGTAGCCTGAAAGTTCCACTTGACAGACCTACAGTCTGTCCATGTTAGTATTTGGAAAGCTAAAATAGAGACAGGCAGCAGTTCAACTAGTCCAGTTACCAGATGTGCAGTTCCAGCAACTAGTACATAAATTGATCGGACAATGACTTTAGCCTTGGACTAATGGATAGAAGGTGATGAAGCATTTCTAATTAACTGGCTCAGTCTGTATCTTTCCAAAGCAAATATAGCCAGCTCTGAGTTGTTCTCTTGTTGTGCGTCACCAGTGAGCTTTAGTGTAGACGTGGAACAGAAATAAGATCTGCTGAACTCAGTCTGCTAGTGAGCAGAGATTAGCTATTAATTGTAGTCCACAGAAACATCCACTTACTGCAATCACAGACACTTACCCAACAGGGCATTGTGCCCATTGTCATCTGGCAGGAATCTTTTATCCACAGCACACACTAAAAGGTGATCAGGTAAATTTGGTGACTTTGCACCAACAAGTAAAAACCCTGATGGTACCTCAATATGTTCATTGGAAATTGAAACCAGTCTCAAATCTTTACCAGCCTGGCAGAAACCTAGAAAAAATCAATTCAACATATTTTTAAGTTGACAAGATTTTTTTGTTTAATACTCACAATTGTCTTTATTAAAGGACTTCCTATATTTTTAATAAAAAACAAAGGTGTATCCTCTGAGGTCAAGGGCAAGCTAAGAGATAATTTTGTTCCCTGCCTTTCAATCAGCCATAAACAGATGCTACCATACAATAAACAAACAAAAATCTGAAAATGTACAGTGAAGTTTCTCTTGATGATGTTTTGCAACCTACATATTTATGGGACTATTTACTAACATCATCATAACTTAGGTCAGACATTCAAAAATGGAGATAATAGTTCTCAATATCTGGTGAATTTCACTGGCTTTTCCTGGGTTTTCGAATCTTTTTTATGGCAACATTGAATGAGGTACACTTTAAATAGAAAAGAGCGATGATAAAGCTGTAAGAATTACCCCATTCATTTTAGCAAATGCCATGCCTGCAAACTCAACCTTTTAAAGGTCACGTTGCCTAAGAGAACAGAAGTTCTGTCCTCATGCCAGGCGTTCCAACACAAATGCTTATCTGACACACTGGGCAAAGACCCTGACAAATATAAGAGCAACCAAGAGCAATCCAGCTTTATCTGGCAGGTAATGAACACTGACGTTTTTAGGATTTCTATATTGTACAGATTATTTCGTTCTGATGAATTATACGGGAAATGGCCCCAATCCTACCCTTTTCAGTAGGGCAAATGCCTTCTGACAGCATGTTTAGTGCATTTCTTACCATCAGTAGTGCAACATCCTTCTGGGGGAGGCTTCATCTGGTAAGAAACAGGAGGACTACTTGATTCTGAGCCTTCTTCCTCCTCCTCTTCTTCTTCTTCATCATTATCTGCTCTGCTGCCTGCTACAAATTATCATAGCATAAATGACTTAGACAACAGAAAACGCTGGCAACAAACCAATGAATTAACAGGGTGACCCAGTTACAGAAAGTATTACAGCAAACTGGATTCTCTCCTCTTGACAATGACTTTACTGTTGCCAACTCTTAAGATATTTGTTGTTTCCTTAAAGCTCCAACTTCCGGTCATGCTTACAATAGAATGTCTTTCATGAAAAAAAAAAAAACTTTTAGCTCCTGTGCAAAAAAAAAGTTCAAAAGCATGACCCAACTGCTCCTGAGAAAGTAAAAAAAACCCTGAAGGACAAATAAAAAGAAGCCTGAATTTAGTATTTTTTTAAATCTCATTGTTTTTAAGCTAACCTCACAATTTTTAGGGGCCTAACTCCTGGTGTTTGAACTTTTGCTGATTACAACACTGTAACTTTATCCTTTGTTTATAACATTAACAGCCAATATAAACCCAAAGTCATTACTTCTTAGCACTTTAGAATGTCCTGGCTACAGTCCAAGTACAGATTTTATTAATTAGGTATTGACCATGTCCTTGATGTTGTACAGGAAACTGAAGAAACAGTTCCTGTTTGAAATTAGGTTCACCACAAATGATGCCACGATAAGAACACCTAATTCTCAGCTCATCTGTCTCCTACCACAATCCAGAGCTCTGCTGCTCCCTGTACGATGTCAAGGAAAGGCAGATGTCTAGGAAGACAATTCACAGCAGCCTGTGCATGGACTGTGCTAGTCTAGGAGGCAATACTGAATGCTGGGGAGAAGAATACATGATGTAGGCTTCATTTTTTAGAGGACTTTAGGTGTTTCTTCTTCAGATTCTGATGTATACCACTTTTCTGGTGCTCAGGCTACCTCAATCAGCATCTTTACCTGATAGCTTGCTTGTTAACAGAATTCACCTGCATATTATTGATGTATGTTTCAGCCTTTCAACTACAGATTGCTTCTTTCCTTCTTTCTACCCATAGGACAATAATTTTTTCATGCATAATGCAACAGCTCCAGCAAAACATACTGAGCAATGACTCCATCCCCTCTTATGGCTCAGACACACTCATGACAAATGGGACAAAGCTGGCAAGCAGAGGAGTGCAGCTAAATAGTAAATGGGGAGAACACTTCTACGGACAGGACAAGAAAATTTCAGACCAGATCCAGCCTTACACAGGACAGAGATAGGGCACAAGTACTAAGTGAACCCAGTGGGGCTTATGTCTTAGGCTTCTAGCTTCTTGGCTTCTGTAGGGACATGCCTGCAGCAAACAAAAAGAGCTTTCACTGGCAAAATTGGGTGGTGAAGGGCTGCAAGTACTTGAGGATCAGCAAGAAGCCAAATAGCTGTTTGGACTTGGGCAAGTAAAATAGCAGTTAGGCTCCTACATTATTCTGTTGATTCAGCTTTTAGTCTGTTTTTTAGAAACAGAAAAACAATGAAGCACACTGCAGTCATCCTCCAAAGCTCAGTGTCAACTGGACATACTCTCTTTGCTTCAAATGACTTTGAATCAGGCACTCAGAATCCCATGGGATATTCATCAAGGATTTTTTTTTTTTCCTATGACCCTCCTCAGCATGTCTTTTTATTTTATTGACAAATTATTGTAGAATCAGCTAAACAAATACTACAGGATAAATGAGAATTAGGGAGGAAGCTGAAGAAAGTAAATCTGGAGTTTGAAGATTTGTCTCTAAGGGTTATTAAGAAGAGGGTTTGAAGGGTATGTTTACTTTTGAGTATCTAAACATCAAGCTTCAGTCCTGGTGCACACAGATAAGGACAGAATGTTAAACATCACTGTTTTAAGGGCGTAGTCTAAAGACAAAAATGCTGAAAGTGAACAAAGGGAAAAGTGAAGCTCTCTGTCTTTGCTATTTAAGTCAGGGGTAAGTTATGTGTTATGACTTGACCTTGACTAACATCCAAATGCAATGCAAAAGGGGTGAGTCTGGCTCTCCTCTCTTTCCCCACACTCCCAGCCATGAAGTTCCTTCCTTCCTCTTTGTGCCATCTCCGACACTTACTGGAACCTGTGCTAACCCAGCAGAAAACTAACTAAGCAAACAAAAGTGACCAGTTTTTTTCACTGGGTTTATGTATTAAATTAGCTCAGTGGAAGATCCAAAAAATGCCAAAAAAATGAAAAGGGAGAAAATGGGAACATATGGCTAGGAGGAGTGGGGGGAGCAGGATGTGGGATTTTCCCCTTTGGGCAGTGGTAAACTGTTAGGTTTGTTCAGCTATAACAGGTAATTTCACATCAAAAAAAAAAAAGATAGACACAAGAAATGGAAGTGGAGACTAAGAAACAGGAGAGCTACAGTGCTTTCAGGTCAAAAATGAAAAGAGTACAAGAGCAAATATGTACCTACAGTACACAAGAATGAGCTGCTGTCACCTGTAAAGGGCTTCATTAGGGTTTCTGCTGCTTGTTTTAAAAAAGATCTACAGTTTCTGCTACCATTTTACTTTTAAAGCAGGACCCCTTCAAAGAACTCTATGCTTGCATGGGTCTGTTCCACATCTTCTTTTCTTAAACAATCCCAAAAGAACACACAATCAAGCACTCAAAACCAGAGACAAGATGATGGCAAAAGTGGACTCACAACCATAGTTCTTCTGTTCTATGTTACAGAACTAGGCAGTCAGCTGACATAAATTGATATGCGCCATTAAACTAACAGACATACTGTGAAGATTTTGTCCACATTTTATTGAATTTAAATTTATTCATAGATACCATAAACACCATTGTTTATTCCATTGAAGGAACTCTTTTCAGTTCTCACAAAGGATTTATTAGACCCTTATGTTTATACAGTTGTGATTAAGACATTTCACATGGAAAATTCTTCTCTCCTTAATGTACAATTTAAATATAAGTTAAGTTCTGCAAATATTTTAATATACATATAATTTTTTCTCAGTGGGACTATTCATAGGGCTGATATTAGCCACAGGGCTTAAATCAACAGCCACAAAACATATTGTATCCATGAATGGACAGCCTCCCTTAAATGCAGATCAAGGAAGGAACCAGTTAACCACAGACACAAGTTCACTGCAAAGTTCGTGTCAGAACGTGGTGCTGCTATCAGACCTGAATACAACAACACTCAATGAACAACCTCACTGCAGTGGAGCCAACTGCCACACTGCTGCTCTGCGTTGTTTTGCCATGCCACTTCCCATCCTTTCCCACTGAAGTCCCAGTCATATTGGTGGTATAGGACTTGGATGCGAATGGAAAAATAATGCTTGTCATTAACTTTTGAAATCAGCTTCACACCTCTTTGGCACAAACATAACACACAAGCCTAAAAGATGGCACCCAAATGCATCTAAGATAGCAAGAGAAAAATGGAAGAAATATATTTTGTATTTGAGAAATAAGATGTGATTAGAGAATCAAAACTGTGAATGGATTGTGATTCAAATGGGATTTTGATTTCAGAAGTGAAGAATTAGATTAAAGAGCCTCACTGATTTGCACATATTGACTTCTAATAACTGGCAATCCAGTCCACAGGTTTAATTTGCAGTTTATATGGCAATAACTAGGCAAACAGAGATATGCAAGAAATCTAAACCTGTTAAAGCCAAATAACCTTGCCTTCTATTGTAAAGAGTTTTAATGCACATTCCTAGAAAGGTCCTGAACATCCAGACCATTTATTGGCATTTGCAGGGACGTTCTGCAATTACAAAGGCTAGGAAAATTAAGGAGACTTTAGAAGACCCTCATTAAAAATGTACAACCAGTAAGACCACAACAAACTGCAGGCTTTTTGATAAAATGAAAAATCTAGCAAGAAGTTTGTTTAAATAGTGATAATGTTTTTGGACTATTTTAAGCACTACATGAATTTGCCAGGTCTGGAGAAGAGAGGAAACACATCAATAATAAAAAGGCAGAAAAAAAAAAAACAGAATGAAAAAACATACTATTATTGGAGCCAAGGAGATCTGACATTATGTCTAAACCAACTTCGGTGAAGTGGTACTTCTAATTTACATAGCTACAAATAATTTTATAGGCAAATGCAATTGTGTAAATGACTATAAAGGCATACGTTTATAATATGTATGTTTTTTTCAAATCTAGAATGTGTAGACTGGAAAACCATACTCACTGGAAAATATGTGTTTGCAAGTTCATTGCAAAAACTAGGCCAGAAGGGATCAACATGTTCATTTAACTTGTCTCCAGGCACACTACAGTCTCTTTTGCACAAATAAATTATTTTTAGGCATAAATTATCATGACAGATATGTAATAATATTAGGTTAGTCTCAGTGGCTAGGTACTTTTTTCTGGTTTAGATGGTCATTTATCAAAAGGAGACAGAAAAATGTTTTGTAAACAAAAAACTATAAACCTAAAAATAATGACAAGTTACAACAAGATGGTTGATAAAGCTTAAAAAAAACATTTCCAATTGTTTTTTTCTTAAACTGACTATATACTCAATTCTCAGGCTTTCTAGCAATTTTGATATTCATCATCAGAGACAAAAATCCATAATATCAGCCTTATTTACCAGTGGCTGGTTTTGTTGCCAAATGCTACTTTGAACATCTGTGTTACCAGTCCACAAAATGGAAAGCCAAAACACTTGGGTTGCATTAACCCACTGCACTACCTTGTCTAAATTATTTATATCATGTCTGCTTCACCATAGGAAAACACTTGCTGTATTGAGGACCAACAGGCAGCTATGACCAAGGATAATCCGAGTATATCACCATGTCAGAATGCGCGAGCCAAGGAAAGATAACAATGAGAGGGGAGGACAGGGGTTTAAACAAGACCCCAGGCATGCTTCAGATGCCTCCTGGCCCTCAGAGCATGGGGATTCATATAGCTAGAAGTGGAAATTTCAATTTATGATGAGGCTAGAGTACATGCTGCCAGCTTGCAGACCTCTCCCACCTGAGGAACAACCTAGGAAAAACTCTGTTCCAGGTCCCTTCAGAGTTCCCCTTGTCTGAAACTTTCTCTGCCAGGCTGTTGTGAGACTTTTAATTAATTACAGTTCAATTCTGTTTCCATTAACGGCAAAGAAAACAGAATCAGCCCCTCAAAGGTTTGGAAAGGTCTTTGAAAGCCTTGAAAGAAAGAGTTACAGAAGTGTGAAATCGCATTTTTGTTCCTCAACAATGCATCTGCTCCTGTAGCATCTTTCCCAACTGATGTCATAATCCATTTTGTGACATCACAGTTGGTTGCCATGGAAAAGCATATGAAATCCTCATAGAAGGGTTTGATAGAAGGATCACTTTGTGTAGGGCAGAAGCAGCATCTATATTTGAACAAGGAATATATATTCATTATTAGGTCCTATATTAACAAAAAAGAAAAAAGAAGAAATGACTAATGATGTGTGAGCTGTGAGCAGATTTACTTTTTCAAGAAACATTTTCTCAGCTGTTACCATGAGGTAATAGTAAAGAGTTTAATCTGTGCAAAATACTTTTATCTATTACTACTTCTTGGGCTGATTTTTTTTTTTTTCTGTTACTGTGGATTGTTAACCACCACGCATTTTTCATTACATATATATCTAAGCCATCTTTAGCAAAGTATGACAGGGGAAGTAGGCCTGGTCAAAAAAAATGAAACACCACCCTAGTGACGGAAATGGATAAATAATTAAATTATTAAACATAACCTTGCACCAACATGCCAGTCTTCTGCACACACCAGTAAACTCACTGAAAACCATGAGACTACTACACGTAATAGCACACCAAAACACCAAATTGTATCATGAGTTTGCTTCTCAGATCTATACAGTTCATTTAAACTATACTACTTCCAAGAAAAAAAAAAAAACACACTGAGCAAATGAAACTCAGAAAGCAGGCTTCTCTAAACACACACAAAAATTCAGTGAGAAATCCCATGTGTTAAATACCAACTTGTGCAGGGTTTACAAGAGAAAACATCCTAAATTTTTACTTTTGCAAGCACAGAATAGCTAAAAATATTATGCACAAAGTAATTATAAACTTTATTAAAAGCTAAAAATATTTCTGCTGTATTTATTCACAATGAAAATCAGTCTTAGCATATATCTTTTATAAATCTACAATGTGTTTACCATCATTTACTATATAACTTTCAGCAGTGTATGACATATTATAGGACAACAGATTTATGTTCCAAATCTCCAGAGATTCCTCCACACATTTAATGGAACAATTTCTAGTACTTCAATTCATGTTAATTGATAAATCTGAGCAAGCAAGTCGCTTAATTTTGTCACAATAAAAGACAGTGCAGTTTGCATTTTTAAACCAATTCTAATACAGACATATATTTGTAGATCATAAAAAAATCCAAAGAAAATCTTTAAATACTTTTGTTTTTCTGTATTGTGATTTGAAATGTATCTGCTGAGCCTTGGGAGAGCAAACAGCAGAATTGCCTTTGAGCAGAAATATAAATTCCACTGTTTCCTACCTTCCAGTGATGACAGTTGCTGTTCAGCTTCCAAATACAACTGAGAAAAGATTGGTCTGGGAACTAAGTTGTTTGAGCGGAGAGAGGCCTCAATAGAATTATGCAACACTTCTTCAAACCGTGTTGTCTTGAGCTGACCAGCGTAAGAATTTCCCATCTTCTCAAAAAAAAGAGACAAGAAGAAAAGAAGAAAAAAAAAAAAGATATTTCAATTTTAGCACTCAGAACTCAATCACTGCATGTTGATGTCAGGCTACAACATTTCTCATGAAAGAGAGAAGCTTCATTGTCCACAAAGAAAAAGAACATTGACTGCAGCAGTTGCTGAGCAGATCCTGCTGGTAAATTACAGGAAGTTATCTAAAAGTAACAGCTTTCCCTAATTCAGCAGAAAGGCAGCAAGCTTTGACACCTTCTGGAAGATGTGGCTAGAAATCTGATTCGAGTTATTGCTTGGTTTATACAGCAATTGAGCAGATGCATTTTCAAGTCAGCAATCCCATCTGTTAAACAGCCTTTCTGTTTTACATGATTTGAACAGAATAAATGTTAAAGTATCTGGGGAATAGCACAGTTTTGTGTATTTGTCTTTGCATGGCCCATCATGGCTGAAAACTCATGGCTAAAGCAGTTCAACAAATCTTTTAGAGGTGCCATCTCATAAATAACGTAGCATTGCTGTAACTCAGATATTGTGAAATATAATGGCTTTTCCTTCTCACCTCAAGCAGTATTTTTCCCTGTAAACATGCATTTTATTTTTTTTTAGAATGAGACACTATCGATTGTCTATTTGATTTTGCATTTAATTATTAAGACTTTATTGTTAGTGAAACTGCAATAATTTACTCATTCTGTCATTGAGGAGTCAGTCTCTTCCAGCTGAATATCCCACGTACTTAACTGCTGCCTGCTTTCCACAGTAAACACAATGAACTGGTATAACCAAAAGCCATGTCAGCTTTCTTTTCCTATTACAAAGTAGCTCTTGCCCTGGGCCCCATGTCCTTTCCCTCCTCAAGTAACTGTGAATAGAAAGCATGAAACGCTTCCTGTTTGTGGCAGTAATTCCTAAACACTGAACAGCCCCTCCTCAGCACCGGGTACCGCTTGGGAAATGAGCCTGTTGGGAAGCATCCTCTAGGAATCAGTCAAGCAAAAGAAAAACTACTGTGAAACCACATACTGGTCTGGATGGAAAAAGCGGTTTGAAAGGAACAACATGCAAAGTTGACAATTTGGATATCTTTTTATGACTTTGTAAAGCACATTTTACATATATAATCGTATTTCGGTATACTTGTTTGTATCATGTTAATACTATACATATAGTATAGTTAATACTATATAATATAGCATATTCATATTATAGATACAGTATTAATAGAAGCACAGTAAGAATTAAAAACAATGCAGGCAGCATTTAAGAACATGATCTAGATTAAAAGCAGGCACTACTGACAAAATATTTGTGTATATACACAAAAACAAACAGAAAAGTTGCCGTGAGTAGTACTGATGTATCCATTTGGTGAAAAGTAAACGGGAAGCTGCAAAGCCTGTTAGTGATGTTCAGTGCTAATATGGAAGTGAGGATGCATATTCTCTTCCAACACAAAAAGCATTACATTTCCCTTTCTGCACTTGATAAGAACCCTCTGGCTCCTCTTGTTTTAAGTACTACTTCACCTACACCAAACACAGCTGAAGACAATGAGGAAAGCCTGACATCACTATTGTCCTTAAAAAGCTTTATCAGAGGTGTATGCAGGAAACCCAAGGTCAAACTCTGAAATGAATTATACTAAATGCTGTTTCTACACAAAAGCACGAGAAGATGTTTAGTTCTAATTCTAATCCATCTTTCAACCATTATATGACTGTCAGGTATCTTGATAATTATTTGTCTTTGTTATATTGATATTTTATGTTTAATGTAACAAGGACAAATAATTATCAAGATACCTGACAGATACCTATTTAATTCTTTGTCCTTTTAAATTCCTTCCCATATTATGAACTCATATTTTCTCCTGTTAGGTTGGAGGCTTCTGCGGGCTCAGGGACTCATCTCTACGTTTTCAGGGCCAGGTACAATATGGTTCTACATGACTGTTCATCACCGTCTTGAAAGTCCAGACTAAAGAGAAATAAAAATGCATGAACATGCTCTCAACGTGTTAACATTCAAAGTTACACCTTCAGGAATGGAAACAGCATTCAGGTATCATCCATTCCACACACTTTCTTACATAGACTGCTTTATTTAAATACAGAGCCAAAACATGAAAAATTCATATAACATCCAAAAGACTTTTTGCACTTAAAAAAATCACTGATACAGCAGAAAGAGAATGTCCAAAGGTTTGACTGCAGTGGCAGAGGCTTGTCTTACAATGGGCTGGATTCTACCTGTTCTCAACATGACCATGCAAAGCAGACTGGTCTACCTGATCTTCAAACTTATTTACTTCGTGAAGAGCTTCATTAAAGCACATGAAAAAATAGGAATTTTTTAAATTTATCCAGAGTGAGACAAAACATGCTGAGGCAACACAAAGAGGCTTGTCTTACAATGGGCTGGATTCTACCTGTTCTCAACATGACCATGCAAAGCAGACTGGTCTACCTGATCTTCAAACTTACTTACTTCTTGAAGAGCTTCATTAAAGCACATGAAAAATAGGAATTTTTTAAATTTATCCGGAGTGAGACAAAACATGCTGAGACAACACAAAAGCATTATCAGATGAATAGGCACGCAGACTGCTTTAGGCAGTGAAGGCTTACTTGTTCTACTGATCACTATCTGGATCTAATTGTGATGAAGGAGAAAACACTGTAATATTTCTGTTTATAAACTCTATTCCATAAACACAGTCAGCTATTATTCTGTACAGTTTATTAGGAACATAAATAGATATACCATTTACAGGGATTTAACATACTGGCTCAGGATTTATAGAGCCCGCTAGTGGACAAAACAGAAACCCTATATTTAACCCTGAGGATGGCAGAAACCAGCATCTTATTGATGTGATGTTACAGATAAGGAATCAGTTAAGATTAAGTTATTTGTGCAAGGGGCAGGTCCTGGAACCCTTTACAACATAAGCATGTTTGTTTATCCATTGGGGTGCTAATTTAATTACGTGAATGGGCTTGTAAAATGAAACAAAAACATGCTTGCTGGATTTGTACACCTCTGGTAAGCTCTCATGTACCTGTGGGATCTTACAATCATAGTGCCAAACACAATGATAAATCCAGGAACATACTTTGGAAGATGTGATAAGCATTTTATAAGTATTTTTCATCATCAAACACACACTACTGGAAACCAGAAAATGGGCATTGTAGGAGCTTTTTTTGCCAGCATCAGCCTTTGTCATTCAGAGTCCCGGTGACTCTCTCAGTTGCAGGAGAAATTACTTCTATGAAGCAAGCAAGGGAGAAGCTGTTTCTCACTAACTCTATGATGGTTGTCATCTCCTCTTTTCTTTAAAGCTGCTCAGACTGTGGTACCTGAATTGTAAAGTGCTGACTCTGTGGCACCAGGAAGCAAAGGCTTTAGTCCTACTTTCCTGCTTTAATGAACTCAGCGTTCCCAGCCCAGATTTATGTCTCTCTTGGATACAAGTAGGTGGCACAGGCTAAACTTCCAAATGCTTGCGAAATTCCAAGCCATGAACATAGACAGTGACCAGATCTATTAAAAAAAACCAACACAGTGACACAGAAGGATAGCCCTCGACCCCAACTACTGATAAATCAATGGGCACCTCCCTATCACACTGTCAGTTTCCATGGAAAGCATGCAGAGAAAAATACTTGCCAATACAAAGGGGAGAAAAAAGGGAAAGACCTGGACCTGGAAGAGCTGCTTAAAACCATGACAAAAAAAAGAAAACCACTCTGAGGAACTTGGGAGCCTAAGAAACAATTGCAGATACAAATGAAGCAGGTCAGGCTAATGTCTTAGAAACCCATCGATAATGCTGCCAAAGAGAAATGCCAAGGCCAGGCATCTGAAAATTAGAGTAGAAGTGTGTTAGTCACTAAAGAGAACAGCCCTCAAATTCCAAACAATGAACTGTCAGGATTCCTGTGGTAGGAAAAACAGGGATCTTAAGGGCTAATGTCTGTCACATATAGAGTCAACTTCAAGTTCAACTGCAGTTGCACTAGTCAGGTTTTGAAGAAAACCTGCACTATTGTGCTATGACCCTGTACTCCAGCTGCTGTGATTTAGAAAAGGAGTTCCCTCTTGGTCATGAGGGCAGTACCAACGACGAGAGCCATGACAGTGACTACAAATAACACAATAGTGATTGCCAGCAGCAGGAGGACATGCAGTCCCATCACCTAGATCTTGGAGGGAAATCTTTTGCACAGTGGAACAAAGACGGTAACACACTAGTGACTTTTTAGTTGCAGTTGTCTGTGATAAAGATCCATGAAGAGTATTAAGATTCTGTGAAGACTGAACATCTAGCACAGCAATTCTGGACAAAATTTATCCTATACCTAGGACAGAGTGGGTATCCTAAGGAAAGCTATGGACTTTAGAGTATGGAAATCAATCCAGGGCTTTTGAAAAGTCCCATTGAAATAGACTGATAAAGAAAGTCTGCCACCAGCAGAAACTGAGTAAAGTATGTGGGCTGTGTTAAGAAGGCTTGAAAAAATAGTCAAGGGATCTAACTGGGAAATTAGGAAGATACGGTTAATCACTAACAAATTCAATCTTAGATACGACTTACAAATTATGACTGGAGGAAAAATTTTATATGAAGTTGCTAATTTTTTTCATTCTAAAATATAATTGACATTACTACTTTAATATGTTAATCCTTTCAGCAAAACAGTATAGCAATGGATACATTTTCCCAGTTTAAGCAGCCAGCTTTCATACTTTTGAAATGGCCTAACAGAGTAATTTCTATTGTATCATTTCTAAGAGGAGAACGGTAAGATGTTTCCAAGCTCACTGTTATTCCAAAATAATTTGTTGTTGCTATGGCAAGAGGCAGTTCATCACTTGCATAAAATGAGGGGGTTTGTTTGGATGAACTATGGATTTAGGTATCCAAACGGCTATCTATTAAAATTTGTCTGGGAGGAGAAAGCACTCTTTACTGCAGGTTAACAATTTGT